GGGAGAACAAAGACTGTTTTAGAAGAGATGGGCCAGGGGATCCTGGTCACCCACCCGGGTGCCTGGGGCCTACTTAGGAAATCCACCGTTTTGTGCATCCCTTAGGGAGCTGTGTAGGTGTGGTCGTTCCACCTCTGTCTTGGGTCCTGGCCTTCCATGAATGCGCCTGCAGCCCCCGCAGCTGTAATGTGCCTTATCTTCAGCTCTGACTTCTTCCAGGGCCTGCCCGGGAGGGACTATTCCTACCTAATTTGGCTCTCTGTAATAATACATCCACCTGTTTTCACCTCTATTTATTTTGGCTTTTTGAAACAGAGTCTCACCATGTAATTCAGCCAGGCCTTGGACTATGTAGCCCAGGCTGGCCTCGAATTTGCGTAGATCCTCCTGCCTCAGCCTCCCTAGTAGCTGTTTTCATCTCTCTAAAAGGGTCGTGGGCAGTGGGGAGATTCCTTGCGCTGGGCTCCGCAGGGGAGGAGCATGTCGAGCCATGGCCCGGGGAGAAGCTCCTGCCCAGATCCCACCCTTGACCCAGCCTGGCCACCCCACGGATCGCTGTGTTCCCAGCCAAGGCCCAGCCGGCTCGGGCTATAAAGGGAGCCCCGCGCACGGGGAAGGGCGCCGCTGTCACCATGGAGCTGCGCGCGCGGCTGCTGCTTCTGCTGCTGCTACTGCTTCCCGCGCAGGCGCCGGCCCAGGGGTCTCCGCACGCTCCCGAGGCGCGCCACCAGCTCTGCGGCCGCCACCTCCTGCGCGCGCTGGTGCGCGTGTGCGGGGGCCCGCGCTGGTCCCGCGAGGCGGGAGAGCCCGCGACCCGCAGCGACCGTGAGTGGGGCGGGCGCGGGTGCGCAGTCACCGGGGCGGCGGGCGCGGGGCTTCTCCTCTCGCCGTTGCGTGCCTAGCGCAATCCAGCCGAGAGCACTGTGAGGTGGATGAATGGGCAGACAGTGGAGGGATGGGTGGCTGCAATCTCCAGCCCAGAATCCTTTTTTTTTAAAATTTAAGATGTCAACATTTTGATCTCCCTCATTTTTAAAATTTTGACACAGGGTCTCAGTAAGTCGCTAAATTGTCCAGATTGGTTGTGCACTTGTGATCCTCCTGCCTCAGCCTCCAGAGTACTGGGATGACAGCTCTGCGAAATCATGACCAGTTTAAAGCGATGCATTTTTTTTTTTTTGTTTTTCTCCGGTACCGGGAACCGAACTCACGACCTTGCGCTTGCCAGGCAGGCGCTTTTGCCGCTGAGCTAAATCCCCAGCCCCTAAAGCGATGCATTTAGAAATCAAAATTAAGTAGGAAGGCATGGCGGTACATGTCTATCATCCCAGTACTTGGGAGGCTGAGGCAGGAGGATCGCTGAGAGTTCAAAGCCAGCCTGGGCTACATAGCAAGACACTGTCTTAAAAAAAAAAAAAAATCTTCATGATGCTCAGCCAGGCTCAGGCAGGAGTGCATGGTGGTAATCCTACAACTCAAGAGGCTGAGGTAGGACCATCGCGTCCGAGGCCAGCTGGGCTACGCAGGGAGTTCTGGGTGGCCTTGACCATAGTGAGACCCTGTCTCAACGAACGAAACCAAACCAAACAAAAAACCGATTGCGTCCTTATGTGGGTGGCTCAGGGGGCCGGCAGCAGGAGCCAGTGTTGTGGTCGGTCCGGGAACCCTGACATTCCCTGAGCAGGGCGTGGGGCGCAGAGGGCGGCCAGGGGCTGTGGCGGGCCGCGGGTGGGACAGGAGGAGGGCGGGTCATAGATGCGTGGTATACAGTAGGCGCTTAACAGTGCTTCCCGCTGCCCGGGGCCTGTAATCTCAGCACCCAGGAGCCTGAGACAGGAAGATCCCTGAGAGACTGAGGTCAGCCTGGGCTACTAGTGATTTCCAGACTGGCCTGAACTGCACAGCAGAACCCTGTCTCAAGAAAGAAAAACACGAAAAAAAAAAGTGCTTCTTATTTTTCACTTGTCTGCATGGTGGGTGTTCCGGGGGTGACTCGGCCGGCTGGGCATGTGCACACAGCGTGGCGGTGTCCTCTGGGCTCCCTGTCCCTGCCCAATCCTGCTCTGTCCCCAGGTGAACGTCTGCGACCTCTCCCCTGGCCGGCGGCTGACCGGGACCCCGCACCGGGCGCTGACCCGCAGCCCCTGCCCCAGGCTTCGCGGCAGGATCGGCGCCGCCGTGAGGCAGAGGCCTCCAACCCCGCGCAGCGCTGCTGCCTCGCGGGCTGCACCCGCCAGGACCTGCTGAGCCTCTGTCCGCACTGACCTGCCCTGGGCGCGGCCTCAGCGGCTGCAGAGATCCCCAGGCCACACGGCGCCTGAGCCCCAATCACTAGAGGGGGCGCTGTTGGTCACCTCCCGGACCGCGCTCACACCCTCTCCAGCGCCAGCAGTTCTTCGGAGATGCGAGGCACTGAGCCCACTCTGGCCCCCGGCCACCCCGACTCCCCTTCCTGCCCTCTCCCCGATAGGAAATAAATGTCTTCAAGCAGAGTCTTGTATTTTCTGAAGGCAAAGGGACGAGCCAGGGACGGCCCCCGTGTGGGCTTGTTCTCCCACCACGCATGCACCTGCACATGCTCCCAAAGCTCTATTGCAATGTGAGAGCCAGTGCCGTGCAGAGCAGGGCACACGCCTGTCACCCCAGCACTCAGGAGGCTGAGGCAGGAGGATCTCGGAGCTCTCCTGGGAAGAGCGGCCATGACCCACAAGTGTCTGGGTGACAGTCACATCCACTGAGCCAAGCCAGCCGTGGCTCTCGCTGTCCCCTCCCTTTACCCTGGGCTGCGGATTGGATGGTGTAACCCCTGGTAAGCACTTGCCTGTGGGATCCCTGTCCCTAGCGCCCAGGGCTGTCGTAAGAAGTGATCCAACCTGAGTGACTTCCAACACAGGGGTTTATTCTGTCACTGTGCTGGGGGCGCAAGCCTGAAGGCAAGGGGTGGGTGGGGCTGGCTCCCTCTGGGGGCCGGGAAGGGATCTGTCCGCCAGCCCCTCTCCTGGCTGCCCACGGCCCTGAGTGTCCTAGGGCTCCTCGGCTGCTGGCTGCGTCCCTCCCGCCTCTGCCGCGGTCCCCCCGGGGTCCTGTCCTTTGTCAGGGCAGCGGGCACTGGGTTCAGGGCGCAGGCACGTCCAGGACGCCTGTGTGTCCACCGTCCCTGTGACTCCGTCTTTCCTCTGACCCCGGTCTGAGGTTCCAGGCGGCCCTTCTTGGGGGACACCACGCCACCAGAGCAGGAATGGGTGTGAGGACTCTCCCAGGGCGCTGGGGAGCCCTGGAGGGTGTGTGAGCGGTGGCGGGGTGAGCTCAGCCCCGCTCACCACAGGCTCTGTCCTCCCACCGGACTCCAAGTCCCCAAGGCAGCCGCAGGGCTTCTGAGAGCTTAAAAATCACAGCATTCGAGGCCAGCCTGGGCTACAAAGAGCTCAAGGCCAGGCTGAACTGCACATCGAGACCCTGCCTCGAAAAGGCAAACAAAACCAGAACAATAACAACAAAAACTTCCATAGCAAAAAAACAAAACAAAACAAAACAAAACCAAAACTTCCATAGCATGTCTTTGACAAAGATTCCTGTGCCTGGAAAATCAGCACCCTGTCCTTACCCAGCCCACACGGCCTGAGGGGCCTGGGCCCCAGGACTTCTGGTCCTTTTCAACTTTCTCTTATTGCCTCACCACTGCCTCCAAGTGCTGCTGGCTCATCAGGCCCCAGGGCCTTTGCACGTGTGGCATCCTGTGTCTAGATGGTCAACCAGCTGCACCTGACATCTGCAGCCCCAGCTACATGGCCTGCCCTGACACCTGTCTCCATCACCTGGTGTCCCAACCCCTGGGGCTAATGCTGCTCAGAGCTCGTACTGTGCGGGCAACTTCCAACCAGTCTCTCTCTGAACTGAACCTAGGGTCTTTGCACCAAGATACATCCACAGCCCTTTTTATTTAGAGAGAATCGCTCTAAATTGCCCAGGCTGGACTTGAACTTATGATCCTCCTGCTTCAGCCTCCCTGAGTGCTGAGATGGCACACACACACCACAGTGCCTGGCTATAAAAGGATCGTTCCCATGGGAGGAAGGAAGAGGACAGGGAGGGTGTACAGCGCACAGTAGGTGCACAAGGAATGCTTAAGGAAGGATGAGGGACGCAGGACTACAGTCTGAGCAGGAGGAGACGACCCTGCTGGGGGCGGAAGGCTGGGGGCTGTGTGCCAGTGGAAAGGGTCCCCGTCCCACCAGCCCAGCGCAGCCCCAGCCTGAGCCTGAAGCAAGGGCTGGTCTCGGTGCCCACGCTGGGGGAGTGTGAAAGCGGGGCTGGGGCCACGCCCACGCTGCCTGATAGGAACCTGGGAACACCCGCCTCATCCACTCTGTTCTCCAGGAAAAGCGACTCCTAGAAGGGTGAATCAGCCTTTGTTCAAACCTGTAAATGGATCTTTTTGTAGCTGCTGTTTTGTAAAGACAAGAGCTCACTTATAGTTCAGCCTGGCCTCAAAATTGCTATGTAGCCCAGGCTGGGCTCAAACTCCCTGCCTTAGCCTCCCCAGTGCTGGAATACAGGTGTGCCTTCCCAGCCTGGCTAAAGGGCTTCTTAAAAACAACATAAAAAGCTGGGTATGATGGTGGCATAGACTTGTAATCCTAGCACTCAGGAGGCTGAGGCAGGAGGATTGCTGTGAACTGGAGACCAGTCTGGGCTACATAGTGAAACCCTGTCCCCAAAAAACAAAACAAACAAACAAAGTTATGAATAAAAAGAGACATGTACAGGAAAGCAAATTATCACTATTTGCAGGTGACACGATCCTCTATATATGAGACCCCCCAAAATCTACCAGACTTCTAGAATAACAAAATTTACCAGTGTAGCAGGATACAAAATCAACACATAAAAATCAAGGGCCGGGATATAGCTCAGTGGCACAAGCGCTTGCCTGGCAAGCACAATGTCCTGAGTTCGATTCCTGGTACCAGAAAAAAAAGAAACCAAAAAACCCCACACACATAAAAATCAATGGTATTCCCCTTGGCAAATAATGAACTCACTGAAAAAGAAATTAGGAAAAAAAATACCATTCACAATAGCACCAAGAAACATTAAAACCCTAGGAATTAACCTAACCAAGGAAGTAAGAGCTCCACAGTGAAAAATAGAGTCCTCTGAAGATGGAGATCGAAGAGGACACAGAAAATGCGGAGCCAGCCCCCGATTCCGCACAGGCAGATCCAAATAGCCAAACTGGCCACACTTCTGGGGCTGATAGACACTTTCCACGCAGTCCTGATCGAAATACCAACAGCGTTCTCCACAGAACTGCAGGGGACACCCCGAAACCCACATGGGGGCTGTGCCGTTCAGTGAGATAAACCAGACACACAAGCTTCAGTGCTGCACGGTTTCTCTTCCGTGAGAAACTCAAAATATAAAAAAGAGCAAAATAAAGGATAGTAGGAAACAGGGAGACGGATCTGTCTGAAATGGGGAGGGGGTCAGGAGACGAGGGAGGGTGGGGAGGGGACGAGATGAAAAGCGGATTGAAGTGTGCTTTGTACGTGCGTTGGCTCCACAAAAGGATGTAAACAGCATGTCCTGCAAATATGGACTAATTAAAAGTAAAAACTGAGCCAGGCGTGGTGCTGCACACCTGTAATCCTAGCCCTCAGGAGGCTGAGGCAGGAGGATCTTTGTGAGTTCAAGGCCAGACTAGGCCACAAAGTGAGCTCAAGGCCGGCCTGAACTGCATAGCGAAACCCTGTTTCAAAAATACCAAAAAAAGGGTCTGGGGATTTAGCTCAGTGGCAAAAGCGCCTGCCTGGCAAGCGCAAGGTCATGAGTTCGGTTCCTGGTACCGGAGAAAAACCAAAAAAAAAAAAAAAAAACCCCCCCCAAAAAAAAAAAAAAGTTAAGTGGGAGACATCACGATCCCAAACTTCAAGTTATGGTACAAAGCTACAGTGATAAAAAGAGCATGGTGCTGGGTGTGATGGTACATGCCTGTAATCTCAGTGCTTGGGAGGCTGAGGCAGGAGGATCTTTGTGAGTTTGTAGTGGATTGACAACTAGTGGTCAATTTATAACCCCCAGCTGAACTGAGTAAGCTGGTGCTGGATGTGGGAGGCCCACCTGGGGATTGTTGCCAGCAGCATAAGAGGCAGACCTGGAGGGGAAGGAGGCTATGGGAGCAGAGGAGAGGCTGTTGGAGCTGGTAGAAGCTGTAAGCAGCAGCTGGTTGTTTTGGAGGAGCTCGTCATGCGGCTTTCCTGATGACCTTGGCTGTTTTCATCCTCCGAGGAGCTCGGGACCTCGTTGGCACTGAGAATGGCTTTGGTTCACTTTGGGGGCGCTCTGGTTCTTCTGAGAATCGCTTCCTGGCTCCAGTGCAGATCCCTCAGCCTGCTAGCACAGATCCTTCCTCCTGCTGGCACAGATTTTCTAGCTTCCACCACTGACCTTTGGGCCTTCCCAGCGCAGATCTGTGAATCAGGCCTGCATGAGACATTGTTACGGGCTCTAGGCCTCCAGGTGGATTCGTGGGAGGCATTGTTATGAGCTCTAGGCCTTCAACTGGACTCATGCCGGACATTTCTGTGGGATCCAGGCCCTTGGCTAGTTTCCTTGGTCTTAGTGTGTGGACAGGTTTCCTGCACTCTTTTGTATATCATTCTTTGGGTGACTATTATAAATAATCTTATAAAATATGTATCCTTTATTATATTGTTCCCCTTGCAAAAATATCCCCCAAACCAACCCAGAGTTCGAGACCAGCCTGGGCTACAAAGTGAGCTCAAGGCCAGCCTGAACTGCATGGTGAGACCCTGTCTCAAAAAGACAAAACAAAACAAAACAAAACAAAAAGCATGGGTTGGCACAAAAACAGACCTGGGGTCAGTGGAACAGAACAGAGCACTCGGGAAGAAGCTCAGGCACATTCAGCTGTTTGATCTCTGACAAAGGGGCCAGAAACACACCCAAGACGAAAGGCAGACTCTTTAATCAGTGGTCGTCGGAAAACTGGCTCTACACATGCGGAAGGTTGAGTCTAGACCCACATACCTCTTCACGTATTAAACTAAAAGCAAAAGGGATTACAGAGCTCAGTGTTAAAACAGAGGCACTTAACTTGCACAAGATAAACGAGGTACACACTTGACTTCGCAGGTGTAGGCAAGGACTTCTGCAGAGCCCTGGTTGCACAGAAGTCAACAAATGGTATCTCACACTAATTCTGCACACAGCAAAAGAAGCTGCCAGCAGGTGAGCAGATGGCCTCCAGAACAGGGAAAAACATCGGCTAGGTGTTTCTCAGACAGAGGACTAACATCTAGAATATATCAAGAACGCAAGAAAATTAGACGCCTCCCAAAAAAGACCCAGTCAAAAAACGGGCAACTAAAATTCAGAAACATTTCTCAGAAGAATTATGAACAGCTGAAGACTTCTGGGAAGATGGCGGAGTGGTGAACAGCACGGAAGCAGCCTCTCTGAGCTTTGGGGTCCAGACGCGGGAGTACAGCG